TTTCTCTCTCATGGATGTTTCTGACTATTTCTCTCCCTTCCTCTCTGTAAAAAATCAATAAAATATATATATTTTTAAAATTAAAAACAGAACTGCCTTATGACTCAGCCATTCCACTTCTGGGAATTTATCTGAAGAAACCCGGAACCCTAATTTGAAAGAATATATACACCCCTATGTTCACTGCAGCATTATTTACAATAGCCAAGACTTGGAAGCAACCCAAGAGTCCACCAGTAAATGAGTAAACAGGTATCGTACATTTACACAATGGAATACTACTCAGCCGTAAAAAGGAAGAAAATTTAACCCTTTGCAACAGCATAAATGGACCTGGAGAACATTATGCTCAGTAAAATAAGTCAGTCAGAGAAAGACAAGTACCATATTACTTCACTCATATGTAGAATTTTTTTTCACTCATATGTAAAATTTAATGAACAAACTAAACTACCAAGCAAAATAGAGACAGACTCATAGAGAATAGACAAACAGCTCTAATAGAGGGATTTTGAGAGGGTGGTGGTGGAGGAATTGAGCAAAAAAAGAAAAACCAGAGAAAGAACTCATGGATCTGGACAACAGTGTGGTGATTGCCAGGGGCAGGAGATGGGTTAAGGTGGAAGAGGGTATGAAGGGATAAATGGTGATGGGGGAGGAAAATAGAGAACAAAAATTGTCATGTACTTGAAATTTTATTCTTTTGCTGAGTCATTTTAATTTTACCAAGATATGAAAAGATGCTGTGGAGGGAAAGGAATAAAAAATTTTAAATTGTCAACTCCCTACTTTTATTTTATAAAAAAGGAAGATAATTAGATTAGCAAAAGCAGGCTCTGAATTTTATTAAATTAGACTGGTTATTGGGGGAAGAGTAAAACAAGTATAACACTGAATAAATATGGATCTATTCCTGATACATTAAAAAAATTTTTTTATAAGTTTGAGTCAAACTGCATGACGGGAAGCAAGATCTCAAATAGTCCCTATTCGTGATACTTTTAAACACTTAATTCTAGTTCTTTGCTAACGTCTATGATTATTCTCAAGCATAACTGAACATGAATAATCTTTTGGAACTAAAACTACCCTCTGGGCATTTACTGAAACTAATAATCACAGCAGATTATTTAACTTTGCAAAATGTAAACCTTATCAGAAGAAATGTCTAATAAACTATTGACTAACTATGGTAACATCCATTTTTAACAGTTTAGATATCTGTGCCCTTTATCTGGAACATCCTATATAATAAAAGCTAATATGCAAATTGACCGAACGGCAGAATGACCGGCCGCTATGATGTGCACTGACCACTAGGGGGCAGACGTTCATTGCAGGAGCTGCCCCTAGCCCGCAGGCCCCCAGCCAGTCAAGGCAGGTGCTAGCGAGGGGTACCCCCCCCAATCGCCCCACAGAGGGAGGCGACCAGCAGCGGTGGCAGGGCTGGCTGGCGATCAGGGGGCAGCACCAGGCTGGCTAAGGCGGGTGCTAGCGGGGGGCCCCCCAATCGCCCCACTGGTCGGCCCTGATTGCTGGCTAGGCTTAGGGACCTACCTGTGCGCAAATTTTTTGCATGGGGTCTCTAGTTTTTATATGAAGATGTAAAGAAGCTACAATATTTAACTGTTTAAAAATAAATTAGTTTTCCCTAATATTAGGAATATTTTTCATATTTCATTGAACATTTTATAAAATAGTGTAAATGCCTAGAAAGCTAACATTTTCCTTAACAGAGAAATCTCTACATGTAAAGAACATTTTGGCTGATTTCCTCAATATCAAATTTTCTGTTATCAGAATTTTTTAAATGTTATTTTTAGAAGTACCTATTAATAAGTAACTATATAATTCATTTTAAAAAATTCAAAAACGTATTTGACAAGTGAATCCAACGGGACATAATTCTATAGAGCAGCGGTTCTCAACCTGTGGGTCGCAATCCCTTTGGCGGTCAAACGACCCTTCCACAGGGGTCGCCTAAGACCATCCTGCATATCAGATATTTACATTACGATTCATAACAGTAGCAACATTACAGTTATGAAGTAGCAACGAAAATAATTTTATGGTTGGGTCATAACATGAGGAACTGTATTTAAAGGGCCAGAAGGTTGAGAACCACTGGCATAGAGGAAAGTAAACAAACCAAACAATTTAAAGGAAGTCTCTATATACTTTGTTTAGGTCTTCATATAAAATAACCATTTGAGACAAGCCAATGCTTGTTTTAAGACACTACAGGTTTAGACCCCATCTCAAGTGAGTTTACATAGCAGTTTCTTCTACAAATGGGATGAATAAATGAATTAATTGCAAACACACACTCCTAATTTGTTTCCCATATCTTTCTAAAGATTTGCACTTTTGTGGAACTTGAGACAATCAATTTAAATTGAGTTTGAGCTGTAAAAGCTGATTCTGCTTGTCTTTTTCTTTTTAAAAAATATATAATTTATTGATTTTTTACAGAGAAGATGGGAGAGGGAGTTAGAAACATCGATGAGAAACATTGATCAGCTGCCTCCTGCACACTCCCTACTGGGAATGTGCCCGCAACCAAGGTACATGCCCTTGACCCGAATCAAACCTGGGACCCTTCAGTCCGCAGGCCAACGCTCTATCCACCGAGTCAAACCAGTTAGGGCTCTGCTTGTCTTTTTCATTCTAAAAAGCTTAGCCCCAATCCTGAAACCTAAAAGCAAATGGCATCCTGAACACAAACCCCATCTTCCATTCATTTACCCTTTTTCACTACTTTTTTCTGGGGCTCTCTAATTCCTCATACCCAGAAAAAAATGTATTGGATATTACAGATGTAAGTTATTTTAAGGAATTTGGAAAATATTGAAGAATGGTACTTTAAGATCTATCAAATTTTTAAAAAATATATTTTTATTGATTTCAGAGATAGGGAGGAGAGACAGAAACATCAATGATGAGAACCATTGATCAGCTGCCTCCTGCACGCCCCCTACTGGGATCAAGACAACAACCTGGCCCTAGCTGGTTTGGCTCAGTCTCTAATTCCTTATACCCAGAAAAAAATGTATTGGATATTACAGACGTACGGTCAGGGGCATGTACCTTGGTTGCAGGCAGAAGAATGGTACTTTAAGATCTACCAAATTTTTAAAAAATATATTTTTATTGATTTCAGAGATAGGGAGGAGAGATAGATCTCCCTTCTTCTCTGTAAAAAAATCAATAAAATATATGAAAAAAAAAAAAAAAAAAGACAACAACCTGGGCATGCGCCCTGATCAGAAATAGAACTGTGACCTCCTGGATCATTGGTCAACACTACCCTAGCCAGTTTGGCTCAGTGGATAGGCCATTGGCCTGTGGACCAAAGGGTCCCTGGTTCCAAACTGATCAAGGGCAGGTACTTTGGTTGCAGGCTCCTCCCCAGCCCAGGCCCTGGTCAGGGCGTGTGCAGGAAGCAACCAATCGATGAACTTCTCTCACATTGATATTTCTATCTTTCCCTCTCTCTTAAAAAAAAAAAAAAATCAATGGAAAAAATATCAAGTAAGGATTTAAATTTTTTTTAAAACTAAAAAACAAAAAACAAATGTATGCTTACATATACACAGATTTAGATTTAACAAGTTGGCTAAAACCTATTGCTATCCCATAAATTTTGTTCAAGTTGTGTTAACAGAAACAACATATCTGAGTAGAGAATATAAATATGAGTAGAGAATATAAACCAGTTATAGTAACATTATAATTGAATTTATAATTTGCAGGGCAAATTACAGTTTTAGATTGAGTTTACATTCCTTTTTTTGTTTTGTTAATCCTTACTGAGGACATTTTTTCCATTGATTTTTAGAGAGTGGAAGAGACAGAAAGGGGGGGCGGTAAGAAAGAGAAACATTGGTTGGTTGTCTCCTGCACACATCCCAACAGGGGCCAGGGATCAAACCTGCAACCCAAGTATATGTCCCTGACAAGAACTGAACCAGTAACCCTGCAATCCAATGTTCTACCCACTTAGTACACTGGCCAGGGCCATTTTTATTTTTTGTACTAACCAAATTTGGTATTAATCTTCCACTTTTCTGAACCAAATAAAAAATATTTGCAGTGTGTGCTTCAGATTTATCAGGTGGATATGGGTCCATGGATCTGGATTTTATTAAAGATCTTATAATCAAGTTGGAAACACGAAATTACTGGGAAGAACAGAGGACTAAATTTAATTTTATATATATCGCCATGTCCTATAAAGTTAAGAGGAAAAGGAGTCCCATGCAAATTAGTTACTGAGGAAAGTTTTGCTGAGCAGATGAAATCCAGGAAAAAAGGTTTGTGTGAGTCTCTGAAGTTTTCTGTGGCAGAGTGGAAAGAATATGTATTAGGAAAGTAGGCTGGCGAATTGTGGTGGCGGTCCATTATAGAGGGCCTAAACAAAAAGCCAAGCAGAGTTTAAAACTGATATACACAAAATGTGGATGTCTCCCAATAATGAAAGTACAGAAACTATGGCTCATCAGTGGGGTTGGGGGGTGAGGGAGAGTGAAATTGGGGGAGATAGAAAGGTGGCTTTCAGTCTCATGGGATAAGGCAAGGCACTTGCAGAGAAATCGCTAAGAAGCTGTTGCTATCATCCTTAACTGGGGTAACAGTGGCCTGGGCTTTGGGAGAAGGCCAGGCAGGGAGAGAAAAATAGTAATACAGAGGGGAAAAACCAGAGGTGTATTTTTTCATGGGAAGAAAAATGTTATGGTAATTGCTGTAAAGTTTACTTTTTACTATTTTTAATGCAGTGTTTTATTTATTGCTTTAATTTTAAGAGAGGGAGGGAGAAAAAGAGAGAAACATTGATTTGTTGTTCCATCTACTCACGCATTCTTTAGTTGATTCTTGTATGTGCCCTGACCAGGGATCGAACTGCAACCTTGGAGTACTGGGGACAATGCTCCAAACAACTGCGCTACATGGCGAGGGCAAGTTTACTTTTTCTTTTTTTAATGTTTTTTTATTGATTTTAGAGAAGAAGGAAGAGGGAGAGAGAAAAACTGATGTGAGAAACATCCATCTGCTGCTCCGACTGGAAATCAAACTGGCAACCTTTATATGCACAGGACGGCAATCAACTGAGCCACACCAGCCAGAGCCAAGTTTAAATTTTATTGGATTTAATGTGGTAACCATAAATAACTCAGGAATTTTTTAAAGTTAGGACATAAGGTATTGGTTTTCAAATAAAACAAGTGGGATTAAAGATGTGTATTTGAGTCACTGATTTAATTTCTGAAAAACAGCCATTACCAGGCAGAGAAAAGGAACAGAAACTCAGAGTGCTTGAGATTAAGAGAAAGGATAAAATCACATCTAAAAAAATCAAAGAACACTAAGAAAAAAAGAGAGCTGATAGATGATTTACTGTTATGCTGCTAAATAAGTGTAACAATTATAATAGACATCTAGTATCAAGGAAAATGATTTACCTAGTTTTTCTTAAAATCACTTTTCAAAAACTGGATTACATTTCACTACTTTTTGAGCAATGTGCCTACTCTTCCAGTATTTTTCTATCAATAGATTTATGAATGCGGATAACAACACATTTCCTTGTTCCATAAAACTTTTATAGTGCATTCCTCAGACTAAAATACCATGTTTTTATCCAAATATGCTATTCAAACTCTCAATTTTAGATCTGAAATTATTTCAATTACATTATGCAATTCTGCCATTGATACTTTTAATCATTGTATCCAATAAAATCAGCATTTGTATTATGAGCCAATTCTAGTTCTCTCAATCCTATATGCATACGTTATTTCTACTTTTAATTTAAATGACTTAATTGCACATTCCTTTAAAATGTTCATCAAATATTCTCCAAGTCATCCTTTTCACCAAAATCATACATTTACTTAATCTTTTCCTCTTTACACTTGGACAAACTATTTTACTAAATTCTGAAGCAATTAAAAAATCTCATTGCCAAAAAAAAAAAAATCTCATTGCCTAACTCAATTTGAAAGATCATGCCAGCAACTTTTGACAGTGAAATACCAATTCTAAATGGTCAGTTTAAAGAAATGATCATAAATGTTTAAAGATACCTAAGTAAAATTGTATTTTAGTTTCTTATAAAGCAAAAAATGGAAATATGAATGTATAACAATAAAGGATTGGTTAAGTAGCATACATCTGTATGTACTAATTTAGCACACTTAAAAGTAATTTCGTATAATGAATAATAACAAAAATATAAAAAACATGTTACAACAAAGTTTTGAGTTTTTGTTTTATAGAAACCTGTATCTAGAAAAGCTAACAGTGGTAAAAGATAGTGGAAATATGAATTATTTCCCATTATAGTACTATTTTGTTTATTTTTTAAAATATATTTTTATTAATTTCAGAGAGAGGGAGAGGGAGATATAAACATCAATGATGAGAGAGAATCATTGACTGGCTGCCTCCTGCACGCCCCCTACTGGGGATTGAACCTGCAACTGGGGCATGTTCCCTTGACCAGAATTGAACCCAGTACCCTTCAGTCCACAGGCTGATGCTCTATCCATTGAGCCAAGCCGGATAGGGCTATATTACTCTTTTAAATTTATTTTCCTTTTTAAACAACAAGTTCTGTTTTTCCTTCCTCATCTTTTTTCAACTTCCATTCATTTGATATATCATTATGCTTGCTTTGTAAAATTGTACCATTTAATTCCAAAATTTTCATTCATCCACATATTTAGCTTCAGTGACAACTGTTTATGAAAGCCTATTATATAATAACTATATTTTCAGTAGTCCATCTAGGTATTATCCTATATAATAAAAGTGTAATATGCTAAATGTCTGGTCCATCGTTCAACCAATCAAAGTGTAATATGCTAATGATATGCTAAGGCCACTCAACTTCTTGCTATGACGTGCACAGACCACCAGGGGGCAGACAGTCGACTGGTTGCTATGACGTGCACTGACCACCAGGTGGCAGATGCTCCGACCAGTAGGTTAGCTTGCTGCTGGGGACGGAGAGAAAAGGGCCAGATACGCCCTGGAGCCCTCCCGTGGTCCCTCCCCAGCTGGCCAACCTCTTGTGTCCCTCCCCAGCCCCGATCGTGCACCAGTGGGGTCCCTCGGCCGAGTCTGGGCCCTTTCACCATCTGAGACCCCTCGGGGGATGTCGGAGAGCCGGTTTCGGCCCCATCCCGCAAGCCAGGCCAAGACACTCCACTGGTGCACAAATTCGTGCACCTGACCTCTAGTTCCATCATAAAAAAAATCCCACAGGACATGTTGGATTTCTCTATCTAGTGCTGCTGCTGGTAATTTAGACTGTATGTCCCAGGACTTGGTCCTTTTTTGAGATATGGCTCAATAAACACTGTCTTTCAGAAAATAAAATAAAATCCCACAAAGGCACGGATTTTTATCAGTTTATTTCCAAGCACCTAGAATAGTGCCCACATATAGTGACATTCAATAAATATGGCTAAGGAAATGTGGCTAAAAATCTGTCACTGATTATAAAAATGAAACCATGGAACTTGTATAGAAAGCTCAGGAGTTGTTATTCTTGTTAAAAAACAAAACAAAAAACACCACACTTAAATAAATGGTTTTAGGAAGAGTGATACAATTATACTGTCAGTCAATTCAGAATAAAATACTATCTATCCTTAAAAATAGTTAAGGACCCATTAAAACTCTAATACGAATTTTGAAAAGATTTTTACATGGCTTATTAGAATTCATGTAAACACCCAAATCAATTTTATTTTTCATTAATTCTCTTGAATGAAAACATGATTTCCCATATAACACTGCCTCAAATAACAAAGTAAAAGGTGAAAAACTGGGATTTTGAAAGTGGAGGTTTAAATAGGTAGATATACCTACCAAATTAATTACCTTTACAAAAACCAAGAAAAGCCCTGACCAGTTTGGCTCAGTGGATAGAGCGTCGGCCTGCAGACTGAAGGGTCCCAGGTTTGATTCAGGTCAAGGTCATGTACCTTGGTTGCGGGCACATCCCCAGTAGGGGGTGTGCAGGAGGCAGCTGATCGATGTTTCTCTCTCATCAATGTTTCTGACTATCCCTCTCCCTTCCTCTCTGTAAAAAAATCAATAAAATATATTTTTTTAAAAACAAAAAATTCAGGTTAAAACATTAAATTCCAGCACAATTAAGAGACAGATGAATCATTTTCCGCTGAGAGACATGTTCCAAAGATGAAATTTTGGTTCTATTTTAATGAGTTAAGTCCTATTTGGAAATTTTAAGTATTATCTCCAGAATGTTTATAATGTAATCTAATAGGTACTTATTTAAAAAATTTTTCCCTTCGTAAGTTCCTAAGTGCATTTCTCCAAACAGGGTCACATTTAAAGACTGAACAAAAGCATGCACTATTTTCTCTGGAATTTTATTTATATCCGTTGGTTTGAAATATTTGGTTAGTATTTTACATTTCACCCCTCCAAAATAAGTTTTTGATGATATTTCCCAAAGTGATACCACCGAAAGTAACAAATTAGGTTGAAATCCTATATGGAATACCCACTAAGGTTTCAGTAGACAAGAAGGAAATAAAGATCAGATGGGAATTCCTGCCATTAAAAGGAGATTTTTGTGCTATCACTGAAATGTAAATAAAGTTGAAGAGGAAAAAACCTGCAAGCTCTGGATCAAGATGATATTTTATCCTATAAATGAAGTCTGGAGGAAGCCTCCTGTAATCTAATAAATACATGGTCATTCTTTCTGGTGGATTCTAATATACAGATCTAATTTTGTCCTGGCTTTATGTAACAAGTTAGTAAGAGCTGTCAGATGATCAAAAGCTGTGATATAAAAAATAATAGAAAAAATAACATTTCCCTAATACTCAGTTTCCCAAAGAACCTGAGCTCCCGACAGCCCTTTCCTAATCACTACCTAAACCTGAAGAACAGGAACAAGACCATTGTTCTGTTCCCCTCCGTCCATCATCCCACAATATGCACACACAAAAACTATTAAAATAATCTTAAGGATGGGCTTTCAATTGCTACAGTTGAAATACACTGTTGGATAGGAAGGCAAGCATGTTGGAAAACTAGATTGTATGTGCCCTGACCAGATAAGAGAACTCATTTGGTTAGAGGGTTGTCCAGTCCCAATTAGCAAAGTTTGCAGGTTCAAGAAGCAACCAATCAATGCATAAAAAATAGGACAACAAATTGATATTTCTCTCCCCACAACCCCTCTCTCTGTAAAAAAAAAAAAAAAAAATCAATCAATCAATCAATCAATATCCTGCAGCTGGGGAAGAGAGGGAAGAGGGTGCAGGGGGGAAAATCAATATATTTTATTATAAACTAGATTTTATGAAATGTTTAATTACATCACCATTGGGAAAACTAATTTTTAAAATATTTAATATTAAATAGTACAAATATAATCCATATGCTACATAAAACTCACATCAAAGGGATCTCTATGATTCCTAAAAGATGCTTTCATTTTTCTATTTTCAATGACCTTATTGAATAACTTAAGAAAATGTATACTGTGAATCAAGATTTTTCTTCACAAATACTTTATGGGCAAATCAATTTAAGGGGATAAATGTAACTACCAACAGAAACATACTCTTATTAAATCTATTTAAAATTATTATCATTACATATTGGCAATTCAAGTCTTATGTCTTTCTAACATTGAGTAGCAATATAAAAGATTTGAGACGTGTAAGAAAAATAATTTGCAAACAAGATTTAAATGAGAAATGGGTTTTAATGAACTAAGTGAAATTATAAGCACGACATGTTTTTGAAAGAAAAATATTTAAAGCAAGTAAAACACCAAAACAAAGGAAAATATTGGTCTTTCAAAGATATTTATCATTCCTTCTAATCTGACATTAAGAAAAACATTAGCAGTAAAGATAACATACTATTTAGTTATATCAAAATTATTTGAACTTCTAGTAATCATGCAAAAGTTAAACATTTCCCTTAACTCTCCTAATATATCGTGTTCCTGCAAATTAAGAAACAACAGAAAATTGGGGTAAAGGAGATCAGTCCTCAGAAAAATAAATATAAAGTTCTTTGAAAATAGGAAATGTACTCAATCTCATTTATAAAAGAAGTGAAAATCAAAACTACACTGAGATTATAATTCTTTACCTAAGAAAACTGGCAAAAAATTAAAGTATAATAACATATTTTGTAAAGAGAATATAAAATTGGTTCTTTCAAGCATTATCAATGTAATTTTAAATTGTTAAAAACTCTGTGAAAAGCCATTTGGATATAAAAAAGTTTTCAATCCCATACTCTGATTCAGCAAGTCCTCATCTACAAATTTTATATATAGATATATTGATACAAATGGGAAAGACACGTATACAGATAATAGTCAATGCAGAAATGTTTACAATAAAACTGGTTTGGGAAGAAACTAAATGTCGTTCAGTAGGAGATAGGTTAAACAAAATATGGAAAAGTAAGTACTTATTTAAAAAAAACAAAACCTCTAAAATTTACTTTAAGCAAAAAACAAAAGCAAGGTGAAAAACAGAACATAAGATTACATAATTATTCCTGTAAAAGGAGAAAAAAACAAAACACACTGAACACGTGGGTGCCTCAAAGACAGGTATATGAAAGACTTCATTGTAGGTCCCTCGTGTTATCTTGGATTTTTGAACTATATTAAAAAAGATTATTTCTAACTTTTAACAATGAGATTACTATAGTAATATACATGGGTAAAAATATGACTAAAAGTCAACATTTAAGAAACTGTTGTAAGCCACAAACTTTATAAACTTCTGGCATTAAACAAATAAAATGAGATTTACCAAGTTTATTTATAAATAAACATAAAAATAAAATTCAATCATTTAACTCTTTAAAAAGGAAGCTAAAAATACCATTGTTACAATTCTAATGAAAGTCCTTTAATTTTATGAGAACTTTCATTATGACAGAATGACTTGGGGGAAG